ATTGTAACTCTGCCATGATTTCAGTAAAAAATTGACTCTTACTTGAAACCAGTCATGTCCCACCTATATGTCTGTAAATTTTATGGGACTAAACAGACCTCTGATTATAAAACAGAGATTGGAATTGGACTCTCTGCACTTGTGATCATCAGCATTTTCAGACATACTGTATTTTGGGCAATTCATCTTTCTATTTACCCACAAATACCAGAGTTCAGAAATTCTTAGATCTCTGAATTGCCATGCTGTCAGTATGTGAGTAAAGGTTCGTGATCGAGTGTGTTTGCTCTAATGATGCTTATACATCTTCCATAGAAGTATTCATTTCAGGAGGAACAGGGGCAGCTGTCAGCCACTATTTTGTGGTGTCTTAAAAAACATGTAGCATCATTGTGCCCACACAGATTAGTAAGTTTGGCGAGATGAGTACTTAACACTGGCCTTTGTTTCTAATTTTAAAAATGGTGTGCTTGGTACTATTAGACAGCACAGATCTTGGCAAATCTTGAAGAGTCGTTCGGTGGTGTTTTCCCAAGACATGCCCACTCCAGCCTTAGAGTTTCTGGGGAACAAATGTGGTGGCCTTCTGCCTCTTGAGGGGTGACAAGTGGTTGGACTTTGGAGCTTGTGAACACTTACTGCAGAATTTGGTCCATGACAGTGTATCCCACAGCAGTAGGACTCAGTGGACAAGCTGCTGAATGACAGCTGGTGGAGCAGTTTCTTCCCCTTGAACGGCTTGCAGTTGTTCTGGTGATGGCCCTTGCTGTCCATTAGGCTCTCCTCCTGGAGGAGGGTCTAGTGTCCCTGCTGTCTCTGCACAGGAGACCATGGGTGATGTAGACCGCTGACTGCCTTTCATATTTTATCTGGACAGTACCAGTGAGGCGCATGACTCCTCACTACTCCTAGACATGCATTTTGGATTCCATGCAAAGTCTGGAAAGACAGCATTAGCTGTAGAGTCAAGATGCATGGCCCTTTCTTTAGGGCTTGTACAGGCAGCTCCTCCTGGTCAGCTCAGGGAGTGCCCCCACACACCCCCACACCCACACACCCCCTAGTAGTTTGCCCCTTTCTTTTAGTTCTAAAAAAATAGTGGCTTGGTGCACAGAACACGCAGAGTTTGTCACTTCTGAGAGAAGTTGGTGCTGATCCTTGCCCTGCAGACTTTCACTGGCTCGGTAGCCCTTGGGTGGCCAAACCCGCTGAAGCAGACAGGACTGTGCAGCTGAGCAGGAGCTGTTGTGCACATAAGCATTTTCAGGTTGTGCAGTGAGACCTGCGTTTGCTTCTAGCCTTGTTTGGTGGCCACGCAAGCTTAAAATACTGGGTGTATGTGTGAGAAGAGTCTCTCATTTCAGTAGCAGCTCTGGAAGTTTAGAAGGCTATGGGCACGTGTCCCACCGAAAAGGTTCCTGGGGGAACCTACTGTATCTGTCTCTCCCGTCCCTTTTCTGCAACAGTAACAAAGAGCCTCCTGAGTTTGTCGGTGTCTGGGGTGCTTTGGTTTTAAGGAAAGTGTGCCATTTGTTTCAGATCACCTGTTAGCAGACTCCTACATCGGACAGGAGGACTCCCCTGAGATGCAGCAGGCAGCACAGAACAAGCGCAGGCTCTCCGTCATCTCAGACGGCAAGTTTGAGAGGAGCTTCTCTGAGGAGCAGGCAGAGAAGATGCCAAGCGAGGGGCCGAAGCCACGAGTCTACACGATCTCTGGCGAGAGGCCAATGCTGTCAGACCACGAGAACGAAAGTATGGAACTGGTGGTGATGAAGGGGGCTGCGCAAGAGGAATGCCACCATGGCCACCAAGTGCACGGTGCTGGTGGCTCTCACGGTGTCAACAGGCATTGCAAGGGCTGGCCGGGCAGCCGGCAGGGCTCCAAGGAGTGCCCAAACTGCACCCGGCTGGCTGCCCCTTCCCAGCATTCCTTTGACCTGGAGCAGCATCAATCCAGCGAGACTGGGTGGCACAGAAAAAGGCTGGAGAGGATGTACAGTGTCGATCGAGTGTCTGGTAAGTAAGGGTGGGTGCTGGGAGGGCACAAAGGGACTCTGGCACAGGAGTGAAGGGTGACACCCATCTTATCCCAGTATGGGGGTTTTGTTGCCATGTGCCCCAAATTGGGCCCTGCAGTGTTTCCTCTTCAGCACCTTGCTGGTACCTTGCACCAGCGTTCATGGAAAGGGTTTGTCAAAAGGGGGAGTTTAAAATCAGCCGGGTTCAGTTTGAGGCCAGCTCATCCAAGCCTCACTGTCTTTCCTTCTAGTTTGTTGGCAGCAAATGACCTGGGTGGTTTTCATGCCAGCTTCATGTAGCTTAATGTGGTTGATCTCTGTGGGTTGCCTTTCTGTTGGAGGAAGAGCAGGAGAGCAGGGGCAGTGCCAAGGCACCTACATTTATGCTCATCCAGGATGCAGTTCAGAGCAGGACCCTCTCTCCTCTGCCTCATTTTGGCACTGAGGCAGGTGAAATCTTTGTGAACGTGCCAGGGTGCTCTTGAGGGAGCCCCAGTTCAGCGCAGGTACAGTGTTCTATGCTTTGGTGTGTCCCTGAAATGCTCATCTGCACGGCTGGAAGCAGTTTAGCAGGGTCCCTCACCTAGTCCTACCTCACAGTGTTCCCATAAATACTAATAATACAATATTGGGCTTTTTTTCCCCATTCACTCTCCATTTGCTCAATATTTTCAGGGAATAGGGCTTGGAATTAAATTACATTTAAAAATTCCTGATCGTTTTAAAAAACTGTTAATCAAATATATGTCGCAATCTGTACGTTTTGTATTATAAACTAGTATGCAATCCATCTTTGTCTGTCAGCTCTATATGTGGCTGGCAAGGAGTCTGACCTAATTTGTCTGATTTCTTTTTTTAAATGTAAACACACATCAAGGTTTTTGGAGCAGAATGTCCAGCCAGGAAAGGTCAAGGTTTTCTCCTTGAAAATAAATTGAGTGTAAGGACTGTGGAGGTCAAACTGTGCATCTTTCCTGGGTTCATAGTTTTCAAGTAAATATCATAGCGATACTTACTGTAGGTAAAATAACAGAAGGGTGGAGTTCTGGATCATATTTTCATGCCTAGATGTTTGAAATTCTGTGACTAAATTAATACAAGGATTAATACTGAAAAATAATAATCAGAAAACAATTATCAAGTGTGCAGAACACTTACAGCCCTGCTAATTCCTGTGTATAGTTTTTAAGCATTATTTCTCTGTCTGTTCTCTGTGATGTTTGGGATTCACATCAGACACTACATGTGCAAGTTTAGACTTTATTGTTTTTATTTCTTAAGTGCAAGAAAATGAGTGAGAAGAATTTTCCTGGATAAAAACCTTTTATTTTTTTTATGATCATACATGTTTTACCTGCTAAAAGATGGCTCTGCATATGATGACACAGCCAGAAAGCTTGTGTGAAGATAGAAAGACATTTCAGTCCCAGCCTTTCAGGAAAGAACATCACCAGCCCCAGGGACTTGGTCTTGTGGAGATCAGGGTGCTGAGTTGAGTTGGTTGCAGCCTCATGATGTGTAGTGAATTGGGAAAGCAAAGATTTCATGTTCCAATGCTGATGGATTTATGTTAAAAGCTTTCCTGAACAAATGAAAAATACACTAGTGCACTGTGAGACTGAAGCAGGTTACTTGATACAGAACCAAAGGAAAGCTCCAGATCACTAATGGATCCTCCTGGCTGGAGCTAAACACCTCTGTCTGCTAGAAAACATGGCCTAGCAAATGCTATAGAGAGATGCCATGTTCCACTTCTGGGCCTTGGGATTTATAATATGTATTTTCAACTATGCAGCAATTGTTGTTAGGGCCAGTTATCAATGTGAAATGGAGATTTGCCTTTCTGAAAATATACTGGAGTAGTTACTTAAATGGGAACAAAATGGACAGTGCTGAACCTGCAGATGAGTATTTTGTGTTTCATACAAGCAGACAGCAGCTACCCTCCGTGCTTGTCTCAAGTCTCTGAGTGCTTGCACGTGTGGCTGCACAGGCAGCGCTGTGCCTCTGAGACCAAATCCTGTCATAGTGCTGGCATCACGGAATGGAAGTTTTCTCAGCTTGGTCTCGTTTGTTACTCAGAGAAAAACTGAGAATTGAGTGGCACAACTGTCACAGGTTGCAAGAAGTAGTTCTTGGAATGTCCTTCATGCATGGCTAGCAGAGAAAACAAAGCAGAGATGAATGGAGATGAGAGAGAGAGACTAATTTCCCCAGAGGTTCAATTTACAGCGCTGCTTTCTCTGTTTGGATTTACATGACACGTTGTTGCTGCAGAACCAACATTCATGGCAGTTAGGCCAGATTGGCATAATTTAATATGGATTTTTATGCTGAGTTTATGACACCTAACACTATTCCAGAGAAGCACAAGCTGTTGTCTCCTGTGCTGTTCCCAGCATCTGATGCAAACACATCCACTCATGGACAGAGGTGCTGAGATTTTCATGCAGCCTGTCAAGTGGCTGGAGATGGTGAATGTGGTGGTGGTGGTGTTCCTCCAGTCTTATCCAGGCCCGTGGTTCCTTGGCTGTTTCATCACAGTTGATGATAACAAGAAAGGAGAGTAAGATGCTCTGTCTGGCCAAAAAGGAGTGTGCTACCTGCTCCTGGAAGCAATTAGTTGTACTCATAATCTGAATTTTAATGAGCCAGATCAGCTCTGGAGCTAAACTGTGTTCCCTAGTCCCCAGCTGTGTGCTTCTCTGCAACTGTTCTACCTCTGGCTGGTAAAGAGGCAATCTCAAGGGCCACACATCCTTTATTCTCCACTGAGTGCTGTGGGTAGGGGAGTGATATCTTTCCGATGTGGACTCCTGTCTTTCAGAAAAGGAGGGAGGCTTCCAGTGGTTGTCCAGGCAAAGCTGTTGTTCATAAATTCAGCTTTGAATAAGCTACTGGCTTAAAAGCTGTAAAATATATTAAGAGATTGTCAGTCCTTTGAGATGCGTAGTCCCTGAGAAGTCTGTACAGGTTTGTTGGCTAAAGAGGAATTTGTACAACTTCTCCTCCTTCACCACTTTTGTGGATTCAAGACTTAAAGCAAGTAATTAATTTACAGTCTGAACTGTTTTGAATTTCTTCAGTCTTTTTTAAAGAAGAGCAGACATAGGAACTTCATAAGTATTTAGCATACTAGAATGCAGTTTTCACTTAATGTATATATTTCCTTAGGGTGCCTTTATACAAGGCTTGACATAAGCTGTTAGCTGAGAAGAGTGTCTGTTACAGCTTTCTGTATGATTTCTTGAAAGCTTCACTTCAAAGGAAGCCTCTCCAGTTGCATTTAGCATGTTTTGCATCTGTAATTGCAGCAGGACCAGTCTGTAGTAGATGATGATCTGTGAAAAACATTTGGTGAGATACCTCATCTGTAGTAATTATGTCTGCAATATGCATGCAGGGTTTGTTTGGGTTTTGACCAATGAAAGTGAATAAAAAAATTCTCTTGACGATGCCAGAATATTAATGACTAAGATACCATAGTTGCTAATGATCTCAAAAGGAATGAGTGAAGCAAGACGCATGATGAGCAACATGTGGCAAGTCATTAAGCAAGGAAGCTGTAAATTGGAAGTGAAGCAAATGAAAAATCAGGTAGCCCCAAATCCCAGGGATCCAGTCCACTGAGATCTCGCATGTCTTGTGTCAGTGGATTTTAGCACACCTCTGATTCCCTGCCTCAGCCTGAGAATTCTCAGTGGGAGCTGCCTCTTGGTCAGACTCCTCCTTCTGGTCACCACCATCCCACACACATAATTAGTGACTTAATTTACTGCCTGCATTTTGTCTTAGTGGTCATTACGTGAAGAGGATGTGATGTCCTAATGCAACAGAATTGGGAAATAATCACAGTTGGTTCAGGCAGGGCAGTTTACAAACAAGAGACTGAGTAAGCACAGAGTTATCTGCAGTTTGTGTAGCAGATGTGCACTTTGACTTCTAAAGGCAGAAAAATTCACGAAGGCCAGGTCATCAGGAGTGGGTGTCTGAGGGCTTTATTGAAACTTCAGTGGTAGAAAAAGAGAGTATGTCTCAGGCTTACAGTTCTGAGGAGAGGAAGGTGAATGCTTCTTGTCTTCCACAGGAGGCTGCATCAGAAAGAATGGATGAATGGGACGTTTCAAATGAATGGTAATAAGGAAAAGGCAGAGGCTGGAAAATGCTCTTAGTGGAAAGTATTTCTTTCCCCTGTTTTTTTTCTTTTTCAAATGTTCCTTCTGTAATTCCTGGATCAATCATTCTAATCTTTGACGCTTAGAATAGAGCTTTCATTTTTCATTTTGTAGCCTGATAGACCGGCTTAGCGCAAATTTATAAGACACTTGGTGGTAGTGTGCATATATATGAGGAGATTGAAACTCTCCAGTTTAGTATAGGGCAGGATGCTGAAGAAAAGTACTAGAAGAAAGAGCTCAGAAAATCTTGCTGGCTGAATGCTGTCTCTGCATGCTGGGTTCTCAGGTTTTGCTCTCTCTTCCAGATGAAGTCCCCATACGAACCTGGTTCCCAAAAGAGAACCTCTTCAGTTTTCAAACTGCTACTACAACTATGCAAGCGTAAGTGAAACTGCTGCTGGAGCTTTTATTGTGTATTTTAAAGTTTGTGGCCCTCTCAAAGCTGTATCTGAGTGTCTGGAGCAATTGAGTTGTGTGTTTGGCACCGCAGTGCAGGGGTGAGAGAGAGAGAACCTTGTACTTTATTAATTTATTTTGTGTACTTAGTAGTTCTCTTTCCTACTACTCCCATTTGTTTGGTTTTACCTTCTTTAACTCCTTGGGCTACCCAGCTCTTCTCTGCTTCCCTTATTTTCTCTGTGACACTGTGCCCTGTCCCTGGCTGCCTCTGCAGAGAGAAACTCCTGTGGGAGCACCAGCTGAGACCCTTCACCACTTGCTTCTGCTGCAGCCACTGCCCTGAGGGAATATTCGAGGCTTGCCCTGCATCCCTCACTCCAGGAGAAGCGTGTCTGTATAGAATGAGATTGTAGCCCTACAGCTTCTGTGCTGGTCTGGTCATTTGAAGAAAGTGTCAGTAAAATTTCTTCAAAGTGTGAATGAATCTGAGTTAGGAACAGCATTTCCCTCCACGCTCTGCACAGGTTTTGGTGCCCCTGGTTGCTGTGTGTTGGGAGGAGGCAGTTCTCAAAGGACTGAAGAGAGTAAGGGAAGCCTCATTTCCAGGTTGTACCCAGCTTGTCAGGAAATGCCATCTTCCTGGTGTCAAGTATTTCCTACCTGACTGGATAGCCAAGGCAAGCACTGAGGGAAACGAGACACTGTTGTGCTTTCTAAGGCCCTACTCCAGCCTTGTCACCTTTTTCCTGGTTCCTACTTTGTGTCTGTCATTCTCAGCCACTCTCTTTATTCCTCTTTGTCTAATCTGGTGTGCTTTTTGTAATCTGTTTCTCTGCCATTTCCTCTTTCCCTCATACCTTTCCTTTCTCAAATCCTGAAAAGAGGCTGTTTGTTGATCTTGGGATAACCCAGACTGGATCACACCTGTAAGAACTGTTACAGGGAGGGCTGGATCTAGAGTTGGGGAGAGGGGTGGCTGCTGAGATACTGGAAAGGTTCTGCATCACACAGAAAAAAAGGCTTACCATCACGCCCTGCCCTTCCCTTCCAGCTTGGCTGGAGGTGTGACCCACCCTCCCAACCTGAGGAACAGCACAAGGGGAGGCATTTGCATGGTGCCAGTCTGTGAAATCTGATGCATTGTGGCAGGGTGCTGAGCCCACCCTGACGGTGGCAGTGGGGAGCCTCTGTGAGCTGCTGCTCTCTCTGTATTGTCTTAGCACTGCTTCTCTTACTTAACCCTATGTCCCCCTGCCTTCTTTCCAGGGATTGTAAATCTGGTGGCATCCCAGCTGATTCACACTCCTGGGCACCAGGCTTGACAGTCCGAGGGCAATTTGACAGATACTCGCTTTGCTCTTTAAAAATGTTGGCGGATAACAGTGAATGATATTTTACAATCCTGATCTGACAAACCAAAACCATGCACAAAATCAGCACGTTTCCTTTGCCTTTGGGCACATCCTTTGTTATCTGAAGTCATCTTTGCTGGGTACAAGGTTTGTTGCAGGATGATGGCTCATGGCAGGGCCTACAGGGCTTGAAGGCCAAAGTGAGGTTGGCTTGGGGGATGGTGCTCTGAGGAGACCCTTGAGGAGCACAGCTCCCTTGGTATACATAGCTCCTTGGTTGATGTTTCTGGAGGTCCTGTGTTGCCTCTAGAAATTGCATAGAAACTTTTCCAGAAGTTCAGGGCACCTCCTTAAGTGGCTTCCCCAGGTGCCCCTGTCCTCCTGGCCTCTCCTCTAGCATTTTCACCCCACTGTGCTCCCTTCCTTCATAGACCAGACAGCGTGAGCTGACTTCACAGGTCACTGTGGGAGGAGGTCTCCCTGCTCCAGAAGCCCATGATGGTGAGCTCCTGCTGTAGCCTGACAGGCCGTGGTCAGCTGTCAGTTGTACATCTGCATGTTCTCTGGATCTACATGGAGCTTAATTTGCATCCAAGCCACATGCCAGCACTGCCCCAGCGAGGATTTAGCTTGGTCCAATAGGAGTCTCACCACTGAGAAATGTTTAATTTAAAAAGCAATTTCCTTCCACCTAACAAGAACTATTCCTTCTGGAGTGAAAATTCCCTCAGAACACTGGCTGGGGCTGAGCACTAATGAATTCCTCTTCTCTTTCTTTTTCCCTGCATCTCCTGGGATCTCTAGCATCTCGTAAGTATAATCTCAATTTTTTTATTACCTTGTCTGTTGGTGTCCTGGATAAACTCTCCTCTCCTGTCCATCATATTCATTCGTGCTTTCCCTGTGCTAGGACTGTTTGTCAGCTGGCAAGAGGTTAGATGGCTACAGCTCGTAGGCCTACAGGGATCACACTGCAACCGTCCTCATCTTCAAAACGGAGGCTACAGTTGCTAGCATGCTTTTGTCCCTCTTGATCCTGGTGTACACAGGTTTTGTGTCTGCAGTCTCCTAGGTCCATTCTGCTGTAGCAGGGATGATGGCTGCTCTTCTCCACTCTTTGAGCCATGCTCTGGCCACTCTTATGTTTGCTTTAGGAACAGTGGCTTGTCTAGCCACCTACTGAGAGAGTGAGGACCTTTGGTTTGGTGAGTCTTTTGCCCGGCCCCTGACTTGCACGCAGTCCTGCAAGGGCTGGCTGTCTTCCTTGGTCAGCCTAATCTCTCTTTGTTGTCTGGTGAGAGCTTTCCTGTCTATGTTTCGTGTTCTCTCCAGTTCAAAGCTGTGTAGTTGGTTAATGGCTTAAAATGGTTTCCCAGGGCGTTCAGGGGCTACGCAGAGAGGAAGAGACGGAAACGAGAGAATGATTCTGCAGCTATTATACAGAGGTAGGGCCCACTTTCTCCCACAGCTGTAACCTTGCCTGGTGTTGCATGGGCCCTTCGGGTGTCATTAGTGACGCTTGATGACATTGAACGTGGTTGTCCCTGTCTGTGTTGCTGTTTGTAGGGACACTAGCAGTGGTTGTGTTGGAAATGTGGAGGTGAATGATGCTGCAGTGCTCAAGACAGCTGATCTCCATCTTCTTAAAGGAACACTGTCAAGTTTCTTTTAAGCTTCCAAATATAATATACAGGATCTGTGTCTCAGGCAGAAAAATAGATAATATACATATAAAGAAATTAAAGATGAAATTTCCCCAGCCCTCTCCCAGATACGTGGAATTTGTTTGAGGTTAGCTGAGTAAGTAATTTCAGGTGTTGTTGCTGCATCTAAAAATGCACCTCAAAATCTGCAGTGTAGGCAAAATTAACATCCCTAGTGACCAGAAGTCTGTTATTCTAATCTTTTTTTGAATAACGGAAAGGGAAGAAAATGGGATGGGGACTGGTTCCTTGTCTGGGTGTTACAGAAGGGCCCTGGTTTCCCTCTGCTGGCTTCACAGGGCACACCACTTAGCCACTGTGGTGATCAGAACTGTTCTGGTTTTTTAAATGTGCCAAGGCTCCTCTGTTTTGGCAGCCTACTAAGAAGGATAACGTGGCATTTTTGTCATTGGTTAAAAAGTGCCATGATCACTTCAGAACTGTTCAAAACAAAGTGGGAGAAAAACAACAGTTTTTTTCTTAACTGGGAAATTGCCAGGAAGATTTTTTGTTTAAGCAGTTTAAAGTTGATGGGTATTTTCAACAGTAAGGAAGATAAATAAGATTCAAAACTAAAGATGCTGTAAATAAATAGACAGTGTATCTTTAAAAAGAAAGAGATTTATCAGAATTTGTTAGAGGTAAGTCTTCATTAGAAATGGCTTGTTGATGTGGCTTCTGAGTACGGGAGTAGGAGTCATATACCTTGTGTCAGGATAGACAGGGTCATGTCATCCTTGTGTTGAGTGGCCAGCATGTCCCTTCATCTCCTGCGGACACTGAAGGCAGGATTGTACAGTGGGAACCCATCTGCATTTATCTTGTCATAAAGAGGAGATAGGATAGCTCTGATGGATTTTTGGCTCTGCCATGCAAGCAGACCCTGGCCAGCTGTCAGGATTGCTGGCAGTTAGTGTTCAGCTTTCTTCTCCAGGGAGTGGGAAGGATCCCAGCCCAGCTGCAGTTTTGGATGCTTGTTGTGCAGCCCTTCATGGCCTCAGGTGTTTCAGAAGTTCAGTTGTCACTGCACGGCCCCTTCAGTGGTTGGCTCTGTGTGTCTGGTGCCTGGGGAGGCTGGTTTGTGTGGCACAGCACACGGAGGGTGTTTCCTGGAGAGTGAGTGATGCCCAGCGGTTTGTTGAGCCTTGTGTCTGCTGCACGGAGGGGCTGGGCTGGAGAACGGGAGAGGTGCTGTTGGGAGTTTTGCCAGAGCATTGATGTATGTCAGTAATTCCATTGCTGACCTGTCAGGTAGTGAAAATGTTGGAAAATGAACCGCTGCAAGCAGAGCTGCAGTGTGTGTGAAGCATGGCTACTGTGTCTTGGAGACCCTTTGGCTGGGATGGTACCGTGGAGGTGGCATAGGGTTGTGCAGGCAAGCTGGAGCCTGTCAGGAGGAGGACTGTTCAGGAAGGGGAGTAATAAAGAGATTTCATCACTGTAACTTGGGGGATGCTTGTTGAATTTTGATGGTGAAGAGATCTTGCTGGTGATCAAATAACACTGGGTTTTGTGGGTGCAATTGCAGGAGCCAGGCAGGAAAGACAGGGCAGGTTTATGCAGCCCCACTGCTCACAGAGCACATTGCAGCTCCCCAGGGGCTGCTGTGCCAGTCCTTTCATGCTCACATCAAGCACAGAGAAGCCTGAGGACCAGTACAGCTGCAAAAAGCACTCAGAAGGATCTGGGTGACCGCAGGATGCCCACATTGAGAGGCAGTCCCAGGCTTGCACCTCCTTTCCAAAGTGGTGTTTTGTTTTGTTTTTTTTTTTCTGGAAGACATGAGGAGGGGAAAAAAAGGCCTTTGTCCCTTCTCTGAGCATTTAGTGCTGTGGTTAACCTTGAGCAACTGGATTCTCCCCGGAGTTGCTCTCAGCAGTATTCAGATGTATCCAGCCAGCTGCCCTCGATGCGCACTCAAGGGAGAGACCAAGCTGTCTAGGCAGCTGGGAGCTGCGCTCCTCTATGGCAAAGACTGCTTTATCCCTGTTCCCCCCAGGGTCTGAAGAAGCTCCTCTGCAGAGAGGACAGCTGAGAATTTAGCAGAAAAATGGATTTTACTCCAAAATGCCAAAATCCCAAAGGATTTAACAGTGGCCTTGGCAATTAACATTGGTGCTCAGTGTCTGGTTTGATCTCAGTCTCACAACAGACCATAAAGATTTTCATTCTGATGAGCTACAACATATGTTTAAGACCTTTCTTGTAAAGAACAACCCAAATAAATATTGTATTTATTTGGATTTGAAGCTGATGAACAGTAGGACAGCCCACATTATCCATCATCACATGCCCCAGAAGGCTTTGTACGTAGAGCCAGACCAGCATGTCCTAGTGAAGCAAATTTTTTTTAGTTACTTTTCTAAAGGGGGCAGTTGTCTGATCCACAGCAGTGAATCTTCACATACCCAAGTACAGCTAAAATAAATCTTTGTAAACTAACAATAGCTCAAGTACAGATGGAAACTTGTTGTGGAATAAGGTTGCTCCCAGCTTCACTACCCAGCTGCTGGTTTTTTTTCCTGAGCTGCTGAATTTGGGTCCTGATGAACAGCATGGGAGCCAAGGCCAAAGTGGGGGACAGTGCAGAAGGTGGCGTGAGTTAAGGGTTGTCCTATGAGGGCTGTGTTTGTGTCGATCTCTGTATAGGAGTAAACGTATCTGACTTTCTCTGAACAACTTCATGGCAATGCTGGAAGTGTCTTCTAGTCCAGTTAGTTCGCCAAAGCTTCTGCATGGTTGCAATGTGTCCTTACTCATCCCACTAACTTGTGTGAGCCAGATGACCTTGTCATTTTACTCGTTTCGCCAGCAGTAGTCTCTGTTGCTTGATGTCTGCGGTATATGTTGGTGGGGCAGAAAGGAATCTAGGGAGGCTCGCCCACTCCATGCAGGCTGCTCACTGACATCTCTGGGGGCCATGGGGGCTGCACTGAGCTGGCCACCCTGACTAAGTAGGGGTCACACTTTTCTTGATAGTCCATGTGCTGCTTCTTCCCTGTGTCTCTTCTGGTGTCCTCTTTGGTTCCTGTCCTCTTTGGTTCCTGTCTAGGTGAGTGATGAGAAACTAAAGGAAACAGGTCCCTTGCACTCAGAGGGGCTTGGATGAAGAGTCCTTTTGCCATGGTCTCTCTGGAGGGGCCAGGATGGTCTGTTTGACCCATGACTGTGGGGTGTAGCTGCTTCCCAAGGCTTACCCTCTGATGGACTTTCCCCTGGAGCTGTGTACTCTGCTGCCCCACTGAACTCTGCCTGTGAGTCGTGGGCAGGGAAGCATGTGGTTAAGCAGGCAGCATTAGCAGAGAGCAGGCCATGAGGACAGTCAGCCTTGCTGAACAGTGCTATCTGAGAAGGAAGAAGCTGCTTCAGTCTTTCCCAGCTCTTTGCCCTGGAGAGCAGTATGGGCTGCATGGTTGCTAACAGCACGGGTGGGATTTTAGCAGCTGCTGTGAATGTGTTTGGGAATGAGCACAGCCATGAGCATGGTGTGTGCATGCTGCCTAGCAGGGCAGAGCCCGGGCACCCCACTTGCTGGCTGAAGCATGTGTGGAAGAAAGGAGAGAGGGGAGCAGTTACTGCTGCTTACCAGAAGAGGGAACGTTGCCAGCATGGGCAGTGTCAGTGTCTTCAGCACAGTTACAGCACAGGCGTGCCTTAGTCATAGGGACGTGAAAGCAGGCCATGAGAAGGGGACTGCCACGTAGGACCTCACTTGCCCCATACCACCAGCCTGGTGAATTCAGAAGAAACAGCCACGCTCTTGACAAGCATAACTGTCCCCAGCACTGAGTAGATGCAGGCTGGGAACCTGGTGTCCAGCTTTTGAACGCCTAGAAGGAAATGCATTGTCTTCTCACTTTTTTTTTTTTCCTCCCAGTTTTTTCAGTCCTGCTGGGCCCAGGTATTGCTTCGTATTACCTTTTCTCAAAGGTTGTGTTTGGCCTTTCTTTCAGGAATTTTCGGAAGCACCTCCGCATGGTGGGGAGCCGAAGGGTTAAAGCACAAAGTAAGTGAGTACCTGTAAGATGTGTCTGTGAGGAGTTGGGGTTTGTGCCGGTGGGACATGAGCAACCTATGTTGTGTGTAGATGTGGACAGAAAGGACCTAGCATTGGGCCGGAGAAAGGATTTGACCTGCTGGTGCCATTTTAGCCTACAAAAAAGGCGGCCAGGTTGTTGCAAGTCTCCAGGACACACGGATGTCTGCGAGCAGCCTGTAAGCTCTTTCTGAGGACCCTCTGCCTTGGCTGTGAGATGTCTGTGGCCTCAGTGCAAGGAGTGGAAGGAGAGCTGCAGCGTCCCTTGTCCCATGTGCGTGTGGTTTTCCGGAATCACCGGCGTAGACACTTGTGATGAGAACCAGAGCTGAGAGTTCAGCAGAGCTGACGAGGGCTGCCTGGCCTCTTACGGAAGCTGTGGACCAGCTGTGGCTCCCTGGGGACAGTCGGTGTTTTGTGTGCCATGCGGACTGGTGGCTTTCTCTTTCCTCCTCCCCTGTCCCATCACCGTCTTGCAGCAGGACCTGGGGGAAAGTTGCCTGGTGGGAGCTGAGAGGATGGTGGAAGAGAGAGAAAGAAGAGGAACAGGGAAGAGATTGGAGCAAGGGAGAAGTAAGGGAGTGTTATGCCTCACTGGGGAAGAAATCACCTCTCAGGCCTGGGAAACAGCAGCTCCCTTTCCTTGAGGAAGGCAACACTCCACAACCTGGTTGGGGTAGCTCCCTTATTGTTGTGAAATGGGCTGAGAATGGTGTGCCGAGAATGGCTCCAGAGGAGGAAACAGCTTGTTCTTCCCACCCCTGACCAGGCATCACGTACAGACTGCCCACAGCAAAGCCCTGCTGAGTTGAATTTGCATTCTTTACTCTCCTTTCTCCTGTGCTGTGGGAAGTGAACAGCAAAGAGCATTGCCCTTTGAAGTGTCTTTATTGGCATCTGAGTTAGCACTGCCTGCAATAAACAGGGCTCACCTCCCCCTAGAGCTGTCTGGAAGTTCAGGCACGCCTCTCTGCCTTGGTAACTCTCGGGTCATGTTTTCAAAGCTCTCTTCATGAGCACAATAGCTAAATTCATGGGTTTTAAAGAAAGCTGAGGATGGAGATCACCTTCTGAAGAACTTACTATGTGATTTTTCTCCCTGGACACCCATGCTTGGACACACTGCAGCAGAGGACAGGTTGCTTCTCAGCTCTTATAATGCAGATCTGCAGTGAATTCCTGTGCTGCTGACATGAGATGCTGTTACTAGATATGCTGCAGCAGACTTGCTCTGTCTGCTGCCAGAAATAGGAATTAGTGGCTATAAGTGGCTGTTAATCTAGGCGTAATGGCTCTCACATGCGCTTGCCAAGTCAGACATTGTGGTTGGCAGTTCCCAGGAATTTGCCATCAGTGCAACCAGCTCCCTGGATTCTGCCTGGGAAATGCCAGCACAAACAATATAATGCCCCTTGGAGGAAAAAAAAAAAACAAACCTGAAGAGAGAGTGCTCATGAGAATGCAGGCAAGCAAAAACTGAAGGATTTTCAATTTTGCAATAAAATTCAGAAAGCATGAGCTTTCCAGAGGCCCCCCCTCTGTTTGATCCAGCTCTGACTGGGATGGCACTAGAACATGAAGGGAGAACTGACTGGAGAACTATTGCCTTCTTCTGGTCATGTATATGTTGTTAGCTTTTGAGTACATATTCCTGCGAGGCCTTTGAGTCAGAGCATTTACACTAAGACTGGAATAGCCTTGATTAAATTGAGGTTTGAGCTGTGTGCATTTAAGGAGAGACTATCAAGTGTCCTCACTTTTCTGTGTTGCATACCCTGTAATGGTCCTGCTCAGAAATTGGGCACCTTGTCTTCTGCTGTGTAGAATATAGACCCTTGTTTGCTGTGTGGAAAGGACTCACATTTGGCAAGTGGAAGAACAAGCACAGGGGAGTCCGTGATGTGTGGCTTTGGAAATCTACTGGATGTTTTGTTTTGCTGGCAGCAACAGAGGTGGCTTTGGAGTCTGTTAATGTCGTGCTTTGGTTTTATCCTAGCATTTGCCGAACGGCGTGAGAGGAGCTTCAGCAGGTCCTGGAGTGACCCGACTCCCATCAAAGCTGATTCCTTCCATGACTCTCGAGAAAGTGAGTTCTGAGTCCTTTGAGCTTCCTCCTGTGGCCAAACCCTCCGGCTGAGGTGTTGAGTGGAGTCCCACTGGAGTAAATCCTCTGTGCCCTTTTGTCCCATCTGTGATCCTTTTAGTTTCATGAGATCTGAGCAAATAACACTCCAGCTATATGCACCTGTTCATCCGTGTGTACCTATATTTATTTGTAGAGCACAACACATCTAACCTTATGTTATTGTGCAGTTGCCAAAGGATACCCAGTGGCACAGCTGTCTTACCCTCTGTTCCCGTCATCTCTTATTCACTTGGGACCAAAACAACCTACCTGGAAGCACACCAGGCCAAGGCTACATTCACCATAGTGGGGCTATGCCTGGCTTCCTGTGCAGGAGCCCCTTCTGAGCTCTTTCCTAGGCTAGAATAGCTCAAGAGCACAGCTGCAGTGCTCCATGAGATGTAGCTTTGATTTCCTGGCCGTGCTGGCTGCACAGGTGATGGCTTGGGGCAATGTGATCTTCGTTTGGGCTGCCAGGAATTCCTGTGGGAATCCCCAGTAATGCTGCAATGTCCTGCTTTTGGGAACTGAGACTGTGTTGTGTTAATTTACAGGAGGAAATGCCAATGTCTTCCCACTGTCTTATAAAGGGAATGGCTGCTTTACCCAGATTTTATTGAAACCCTATAGGTAAGGGACTTGGTGGACATGAGTTTGCTGATCTTGAAATGGGTTGTAAGTGAATTTCACTGACCTACCAGGTAAGCACGAGATCCAGCCCTCCTAGCTGTAGAAGACACCACACCAAGCTGTAGGGGAAGATGTACGAAAGCCAGGTTCAAAACATGACCCGATTGTTCCTTTGCAGTCTGATTCCTTCCCTCTCCCTCAGCTAACTCAGAGGCGAATGGAAAAGACATGGTTCAGACAGGCTCTGGGCACTGCCCACTGACACTTGGACATCCCAAAAGGCACAAATACAGGCATCTTGGTTCTCTTCCTCAGTCCCTGGCTTCAGGGAAGCATCTCTATTTTTAACCTTTAACGGTCAATTATATTCCTTCCAGATGTTTTTTTCCCCAGGAGGCATTGAAGGCCAACAGGTAAGGTCAATTTGGAGAGAAAATTCAAGTATACTGTTGCAATACTACTGTGCTTGCTACGGCTGTCCACACACTCTGGGACTTCTCTGCCAGGATCAGTTTGACCAACAAGGCCGAGTTTCTTTATAATCACTCAGAAGATGTAGTCAGAGCAGTAATTATTGTAAGGAGACCAGCTTTGAAGTCCTTGGACTTTTGCTCATCAGCTTGGCAATGTTGAAGTGTAGTGAGTCTGTCTGTGTTCTGTCTCCTTCTCTCTTTCTGAAATACAGGGTGACTGTTGCAAATTAGCATTTGAAAGCTAAACTTGGTGACTGTGCGTGATGAAAAATTGTGATATGTGGCATCGGGCTCTGTGTGTGTGCTCTTCATTTGTTAAGTGTTTGTCTGTTTAGAGACTCCAGCCCCAAAGTGTGGTGTCTGTCACTCTGTAAAACAAAGGGCACAAGTCTCAGCTTGTGGTACCTCTTGTGAGGTAGCTGCCAGACAGGATTGAGTGGGGAAGGCAAGCTCTTATAATGCACACTGTGTTCTGGCAGGCCATGATCTTCAGGATTCCTGCGGCACTTTGGATGGCGACTTTGACTTGAACTGGGAAGCAGAAAAAGAACTTGAAGCCGTGGCATGTGACGGAGAAGACTTTATTCCACCAAAAATAATGGTAAGGGTTTCCAACTCAGTTACCTGTATCTACTCAGGCCCTGTCTGTCCTTTCAGAGCTGCTAAGTTTATGATCTTCATAGGAAGAGGCAAGTCTTTTGTATAGGTAACTCTTCAAGTGTGTATGAGGGTCACTCAGAGATCAGCCAAGACATGACATAGCGTTTGGCATCTGTTATTGCTGGGGATAAAGTGTTGAAAGAAAACTAGAAGTGGAAGGACTTGTAATCCAACCCCAAATCAGATCAGGACTGTCACCAACACTCAGTGGAATTAGCCTGAGTCTCAGTAACCCCAACAACAGAGACCTGAGTCCCCAGTCCCAGCAGTCCCTCCCTGCAGTTGTTGCTGACCTAATTCACTTTGGAGCCATATGTCACCCCTTGAAGTGCCTTCATCTCTTTTATCATTCCTTGATGCTAGGCCTCCCCCTGTGCTCCACCCTGCTGTGCTCTGTGGGGTTTGGCAGACAGGACCACAAGCACAAGTACTCGGGCAAAATGGGGTCTCCAGCTTTCCAGCTTCTCAGGGCAGCATTGCTAGCTCAGTATGGCAGTGCTGTGTTTCAGTGGGTCCTGCTAAGACTTGGGAAGAGTGAAGGACATGGAGACAACCTGCTTTTATATGTGTTCCCAGGCTGGCTGTGCAGGCCAGCCCCAAAACACCCTCAGGGCAAAGTGTCCAGGTGAGGACCAAACTCTAGAAACCCAGCACTTGGGTTTGCTCAGCCCTTGACAGATCCAGTGAGTCTCCCAAGTGGTGCAGGTGATGACTGTCCATCCCTGGACTCTGTATTGTGCCTCTTCAGAAACTTTACATTAACTCCAAAGCAGTGATGCACTGCCTGCCAGGAGGGAGGGCTTAGAAGTTGGCCCAAGCTGAAAGCCATGCTGCTTTTACAAGGCCACCAGCACCGCTGCCTGCTCCCCTCTCACAGCAATGAACAGAGATGCCTGAAATCACAGCACGGTCAAATTGACCATGTTCTCATAGTCCTTTGGGTTGTGCTGATGGCAGCCCCATCCTCTTGGGCTCTCATGCTGATGCAGCCAGCAGAAGCTTCAGCCAGAGTTGCCAGGTAACCTGCGTCTGCCTGACATCCCACGGCTGTGTGCCTACCTCTGCCTGATGCCATTCCATCCCCTGGCTGGTTCCTGCGCAGGTACACAGCTGTCCCACCACCAGCCAGCCATGTGTGCTGGTTTGAACAGTGCTCTACAGCCAGAAGCACAGCCCCTCGCGTGGAGGAAGGCTGTACAGAAATGATCTTTGCTGGGATGCAGCCGTTCATGGTGATGCACAAGCTGCTTCATCCTCTCTGTGCAGCGGTCTCCCCTTTAAAGATTTATCTCAGACTCAGTCCTGCCTTTTAGGCAGAGCTGTGTGCTCATTTGTGGATGGCTGAGAAGACTGACGCATGGGGGAACTTGGGAAGCCTGGGGTTCCTCTGCAGTGGACCCCAGACTTGGAGGGCCTGCCACAGGGACACAGACAGGCAGGATTAGCTGCTAGTTTGGGTAACACCTGAGAGCAACTGATCAGGACACTGTTATTCTGGCCTTTGTGCTTCTGTCCAGACTTTACTGGCTTTTCCTCATGCTGTTGCACTGCTTTTTTTTTTTTTTTTTTTCCCCCCCCCCCCCCTTCTAGCTCATTTCTTCCAAGGTACCCAAAGCAGAGTATGTCCCGACAATTATCCGCAGGGACGATCCCTCTATCATCCCCATTCTCTATGTAAGTATATTACTTCTGCTGTGTCTGGATGTGTGGAAGCAGGCTTCATACGGAGAATTTTTCTTTTGTCCCTATCCCTAGTTCCTACTACGGTGATTCTGAAACACTGATGTGATTTGGAAAAGCTGTCAGGAAAGGTCTGGGCATGTGCTGAACCCAGATTTGGGGTCTGGGGTAGCTTCGTGGGGGTTCAGGTCTAGGTGGAAGAGTAAGGTGGAGTGAAAATTGCAGTCACAGACAGGCAGCATGGGGAGATTACCAAGGGAAGGCAGGGCTCACACAGAGCTGTGTGTTGCCAGTCTTAGGGCTCCTTCTTATGCTCCTCCTTAGACAATATGAGCTCTGCAGCAGACTGCGAACCCCATCACCCTGTGTACAGTGGTCAGTCATTAGTTTAACCTTGATTTTTCACTAGAAGTCCTGCTTGAGCAGGTGTCTGAAACACCAGCAAGGAGCCATGGATCTCTCTTTCCTAATCACTTTATATTCACTAAATTTGAAAGGGAAAGGTGGGACTGACAGCCCAGAAAACTCAGTCTCCATGTGCAGCAGTCAGTGCCACTGGGGGTTTGGCTTTGCTACTCTCTTTCTCTAAGAGTTGGATGGTTGTCCTGATGACCCTGCCATGCCAGAGGCCAGATGGGTTGGGAGGGTGGCTGTTTGTTAGCCACCTTGGACGTGTGTAAAGCCAGAGGCTGGCTACAAAACATGGGCCAAGAGGCAAGTAAGCATTGCTGATGCTGACTACATCTGATGGATGGTGTGTGCTTTGGGCTTGTCTGCAGGATTAATCTTAGAGCCTTTGGATGGACTTGATCTTCATGGACTTTTGAGTCTTCAGCTTCTTTGCTGAGATGTGTTTTAGGGTGGTAATTACTGTGATGTGACTAGAAGCCCTCAGTTGGTATAATTGTGCTCTTAAAGCATCTGTTTGCCTGGAAATGGGATTGTGTGTGTGATATTAGAGACTATAATAACATCTTGGGAGCTGGTGCAGTGACAGTGAACCCTGATATGTCTTCTCTCTTGGTTTCCAGGACCATGAACATGCCACCTTTGATGACATCCTAGGTACGTAAGTGTTATTCCTTAATTTCTGCCAATTGCAAATATAACTGATCAGTATGTTAAAACCACTGCACTGCCCTGTGCCTCAGCGGCCACTCATAAAGATGTTTTTATCACCCCAGTGACACCTGACAGTCAGGCAGCTGCTGTTGGATGTGCTGCAGTAAAAAAACTTCACTTCTGTGGCCCATTTTTGATGCCAAGCTTCTGGTTTCTGAAAGGGAAGCTGAGGCACAGGGCAGCAGAGATCCTGCCCAGTGTACCTTTGTTAGGTGAGCATTAACAGAGGGTCTGGTACAGGTCCATGGTCGCTACAGAGCCATGTCTGGGGCTGCACTGTACTTTCTCTGCCCTGAGATATGCTGAGCTTTCCACAGCACGAAAGCAAAGGGTTTGCTTTTACATCAGTGGGAATGTAGGTGCTGAGCACCTCTCACAGCTCAGCCTCTTCCCTTCAGAACTAAAGCAAGAAAAAGTAAGATTAATTTTTAATTTCCTCCGTGGTTCATCTCTTCCAATGTATTTTTTTGCAGAGGAGATAGAGAAGAAGCTTAACATTTATCGGAAAGGCTGCAAAATCTGGAAGATGCTGATATTTTGCCAGGTACATGAAAGCTGCTAAGCGCTTGGGTGGTTTGAATCACAGAATCATCAAGGTTGGAAAAGCCCTTGCAGCTCCTCCAGTTCAACCATGACCCTCACCCTGACCGTTCTTATCTCCACCAGATCCCTCAGCGCTGGCTCAGCCCAACTCTTCAACCCCTCCAGGGATCCCGGGGACTCCCCCCCTGCCCTGGGCAGCCCATTCCAACGCCCAACAGCCCCTTCTGCAAAGAAATCCTTCCTCAGAGCCAGCCTGACCCTGCCCTGGGCAGCTTGAGGCCATTCCCTCTGGGCCTGGCGCTGGTTCCTCGGCTCAAGAGACTCATCCCCCCTCTCTGCACCCTCCTGGCAGGGAGTTGCAGAGGGCCAGGAGGTCTCCCCTCAGCCTCCTCTTCTCCAGACTGAACCCCCCCAGTTCCCTCAGCCGCTCCCCAGCAGACCTGTGCTCCAGACCCTGCCCCAGCTCCGTTGCCCTTCTCTAGACACACTCGAGTCACTCAATGGCCTTTTTGGGGTGAGGGGCCCAAAACTGAACACAGGAATCGAGGGGCGGCCTCAGCAGTGCCGAGCACAGGGGTCAGATCCCTTCCCTGTCCCTGCTGGCCACGCTATTGCTGACACAATCCAGGATGCCATTGGCCTTCTTGGCCACCCAGGCACACTCCTGGCTCATGTTCATCCAGCTGTCAATCAATCCCCCCCAGGTCCCTCTCTGACTGGCAGCTCTCCAGACACTCCTCCCCAGGCCTGTAGCCCTGCTGGGGGTTGTTGTGGCCCAAGTGCAGCCCCCGGCATTTGCCCTCAGTGAAACTCCCCCAGTTGGGCTCAGCCCATCGCTCCAGCCTGGCCAGGTCTCTCTGCAGACCCTCCCTACCAAAGAAAAATTTGTTACAAATTTGTCTTTTTTTACAGGGAAAACTACATAGAGGAACCAGTATTCCAAAGTCATTTTCTGTTAAAGTAACTGCATGTGTATGGCTTTCACTTCTCATTTCCCCAGACACCAAGCACTCTGAAGTTGCTGTGACAGCAGGAAATAAAATCTGATTTGTTGTGGCCAACTCCAGAGCTGGGCTGCTTTCAAGGAAACCCAGGCAAACCAGCGTTAGTGCAGACCTCAGTAGGAGGATGCCAGAGAAGGCAACTCACACCTGCGATGTGATGGTTCTGGTTTGTGTGCAGGTTCAGTCTGGGTGACAGTGGAGTGTGTTGTGGCTCAGCCGGGCGCTGCAGGGGTGGACGCGGGAGAGGGGGCAGGGCACGGGCTAGCCCAGCTGGGGATGGACAGGCTCAGGCCCAGCTGGATCTGGGGCTTGTTGGGAATTTCTTTGCCAAGTCTCTTGTTCCTCAGGGTGGTCAGGTTCAAACTTCCCCGCCAGCTGTGCAGGGAACCTTGAAATGAGAAGTTGGGGCAGTAACCAAACTTGAACTCCCTCCCACGTGCCTAACGCTGCAGAATAGCAGAGTTTGCAGCACACTGACCTGAAAATTTCCCTGATGTTGTGTTCAGTTGTTTTATGTCTGCTACTGCTGAAGTCCAGTTCTTCTACAGTGACTTAACCTGCAACAGGGGAGGTTCAGGCTGGGCATTAGGAAAAAAATTTTCAGAGAAAGAGTGGTCAGAGAGTGGAATAGGCTGCCCAGGGAGGGGGTGAGTCCCCATCCCTGGGTGTGTTTAAGGGTCGTTCAGGTAGGGCTGATGTTTGGACTCGATCCCAAGGGTCTTTTCCAACCTGAATGATTCTGTGATTCTGTGACTTCTTGCCTGCTTACCCTGCTTTGCTCAGCTTCTCATCTGCCTGCCATGGCAAGTCCCCTAGCATCCCCAAATGAAAGGGGCTTTCTCGTCTTCCCATTTATTCTCCAGCCACCCACAGTGAAGATTTTTGTCTGTTATTGTGCTTTTCTAGAATGAGGTGGGCATACCAAAGTAAAAAACAGAGAATCCACCCCCACACACACACTCTCCATATGTGAATATTTCCTGAGCAAGGCCTTGGGGTGTCTGCCTCGGAGGTTGCAGCAGCAGTGCCAGCCTGGCGTGTCTGCTCTGCTCCCTTGTGGCCCTTCTGGGTATGGCAGTGCAGGACAAGAAACATACCCAGGGTTTGTTTCTTCAAGGCCTCCGCAAAGTGGTTTGCATCTGTCTGTCTCTCTCTTGCAGGGAGGTCCTGGTCACTTATACTTGTTAAAGAACAAAGTTGCCACTTTCGCCAAAGTGGAGAAGGAGGAAGATATGATCCTGTGAGTGGCTGCGTTATGTTCTGCACTCTGATAGCATTTTCCTGCTTGGTTTGTTCAATTTTTGTAGCACACGGCCTAGAAGAAGAGGTGGAGGGAGCTGGGGTGGCTTGGTCAGAGGAAGAAGAGGCTAAGGGGGGACCTAATAGCAGCTCACAGGTCCTTCGGGGGGGAATTGCAAAGGTGACAGAGCTGAGCTCGTCCCTGGGGTGGTGTGGCCCTGGGACAGGTCACCAGGAGATTTATGCTTTTATGTGCTGTTTAATGTGTCTCTGGACTAGAGACTATCACAATAAAAAAAGGAAAATATATATTTCCTCTCCTAACAAAGGTTTTGCTGACCAGAAACCAGAACATGCACCTCGTGCCTGTGTTACTCAGAAGTGGCTGAGATAGCATTTCTAAGCAGGCAACTAGCGGCAGGAATCGAAACCATTCCCCTCCCAGCTGTCCTCCAGTAACTGACCTCCTAATTGCAGGGGGGAATGGAATTTGTCTCTGCAAAGCCTGCTCAAAGTCCAACACATTACTGAGGAGGATTTTCGCAAACATGCCAGCCTGTCAGCTGGGGTTGTTGAGGCAGTTCTGCTTCTTGAAGGGAGCTAAGCTTTGCCAGTTTTGCTGCCTGCTCGCTTGTGCTGGATCAGACCTACTTGGCTAACAGTGCTTCGTTGTAGGGGAGAGGATGTATACCAACCTCTTCCTACACAACTTTTTGTTGGCATGAGAACTGAGGATTAAAGTCAACATCTGTTCAGCGCACTCATGCTCTGGCACAAACACTGTCAAGAAAATTCTTCAGCACATGTGCACATACACGCTTCTGAACATGTTCCAGGCATAGCCAGGTCAAAAGTTGTAATTCAGGGACCTTCAAAAAGCTGTAAATAAACAACTGAAAACTTGGGTCGTTGGAAATGAATGTTTCCATCCAACCTGTATGTCCCTGGGAGGCAGTCCTGAGAAAAACTTGGGCTGTGATCTGATTGCAGACCCCACAGAGGAACCGCTGGGCTCCAGAGCCCAGCAGAAGTCTGCTCTAACCCACTGCACCGGAGGCGAGGTGGTTGGATTTCATGTCGCTTAGGCAGTGTGCCTAGTCAGTAGTCACAAAATGTAAGGTGGGTCTGACTGGTGAGCAGCACCAAGCACTGGCTGATGTGGAACAGCCTGGTTTGGTGGTGTGTCTCTAGCTATGCAGAACAAGCACCTCTCCAGTGGTTCTCTGCAGGTTTCATGCTCTGGAGATGAGCCAGTGCACTAGTAACAACACTCAAATTTAGGAAGGGCAACTGATAGAAATGGGAAGGAGGAAATTGGAGGGAACTGTTACAAGAAGAGGATGCTTAGTAAAACTAAAACTGTCAGTCCAAAAGCACTCCTGGTGGACTTTGCTCCCTTCTCTTCACCTTCAAGCTTCCTTGGTTCAGTGGGCCTCTCCTATGTACCACACGACTCAGACCTGCTCCTCAGGCCCTTGCTCTGCCCCTGCTCTTGTCTAAGAACCAGTGGCTCTTCCTGAACAGTTTCTCAGGTTACAAGCCTCAGGCCCGCTCTGAGGATTGTATGCGCACATGTTCTTGTGATTACTTGTGCATATGAGGAGACCGTTTGGGTTTTTGGGGTTTTTTTAAATTATGTATTTTGCTTTTTCTCTGTTTATTCCAGCTTCTGGAAGAGGTTGAGCCGGCTGATGAGTAAAGTCAATCCCGAACCAAATATCATTCACATCATGGGCTGCTATGTTCTTGGAAACCCCAATGGGGAGAAGGTAATAGCTTCCTGGGTCACCTCTCTGGGAGCATCTGCTGAGTAGCACCAAGCCCAAGGGGGCAATAGCCACTCTGTGAACTAAACCTTCCTCTTCTGCTGCGTGGAAGCGTGCTGCCATCCTGTCCATGAGTGGCTGTGAAAGGGCAAACCACCCCATGGGTTGAGCCTTCCCCACAGGGCAGGGGAGGAATGGAATACTGAAGCCTTTAAGGAGAACAGCCATTCAAAGCACTTTATTTACTGATGAGTTAGATGTTTTAAAGGATGTGAGGGGAAGGTTTTCTAGAGGTAGGGAACAAGTATGGGCAATTCTGGGTCCCCTGGAGTCCATCTTTGTTTTCAGCTGCTAACTCGATATGTTTTCCTTTCAGCTATTTCAGAATCTGAAAAACTTAATGAATCCTTATAGGGTTGCCTTTGAGTCTCCACTTGAACTATCAGCTCAAGGTAATTTATTTTCTGTACAAAGATATACCGTCCTAATCAGCCTGCCTCCTTCAGTGGGCATCTTCCTGAAAAAGCAATTGTGAGCTCCCTTAAGTCCTGCCATGGTCTTCATTTTGCTTGTAACCACCTTGTGTTGTTCAGTTGCTGAACCTGGTTTTCCCCTTGCAATTCCTCCACGTTCACATTTCATCTATCCTGTTTGTTGTGCCTGAAGCTGCAGAGCCCTCTCCCAGGCTAGTGGAAGTGGCAAAGTAGCCTAAATAGTAGGCAGCTTTCCAGACTGAGTTTATGAGATTAATCATATTACTCGGGCATGTGAAGTCCATGGGAAAAATGCAGATGGGGGCAGAACCTTTTCTGTAACCAAGTTCAGGGGTTTCTTCTCCAGGACTCAAACCACTGGTACCAAGTGAGTTGTGTCATCAACAAGCGGCTGGGATATAGCCCATTAGTGCAATTCTACATCTCAGTGTGCTTTGCTTTTTTTTTGTCTGTAGCTCAAGAAATTTCAGGGGTCTAAAAATTTTTCCTGTTCTTTGGTCAGTGTCAGTAACTATGGGTGCAGTTTCATAAGCAGCATATTCTGAATTTGCCCTTTTTATTTTGTCTTTGCTGTAGTCCTTGGTACTTTGTTCTCTTGGAAGATAAAACCATGCAACATTAGGCTATGAGCACTGTGGATACTTCGTCTGCTGCTCACAGCTGGCATCAGCACTGATGGGTGTTTATTCTTAACTCCCACTTACTGTCACAGGAATGCAAGGGAGTTGAACACATTTGTGCTGCCCAGAGTTCTCTGTGCGTGTCCTGTCAGGGTTTGGACCTGGCTTTACAGATCCCACAGCAAATGGGCCCAACACATGTGCCAGGAAGCAACTTGCAGGGAAATTCCTGGGTTTACATGCAGCTTGGCAGGCAAGGCAGCGGGTTCTGTGCACATGCACCCAGTGATCTTCCAGGAGGCTGGGCTGAAGAATACATCTGAATTTATCCCCTTGATCAATCTGGGACATGCTAATAGTGTACCCTCTCTAATCCTGTGCAAAGTCATCTGAAACTAATCTTAATCAGGCCTCAAAAGCGAAAATCCCTTCCTTGAACCTTGTCTCAGGGTCCAGGGTTGTTTGCCCTTGTGTTTTCAAATGCACTCACTGCCTCCAGTGCCAGCCCCATGCGCGGCTTTTGGTCTGTCATTGCCTTGTGAGACCCCCCCCCCCATCTTCCATCAGAGGTGCCAGTGGTGCAGAACCTGCTTTAATGTGTCCTGCTGAGCTCTTCGCTGTGAGAAGAGACAGCTCTGCAGGACAGAGACAGCCTGTTAATGTTAATTTAAAAAAAAAAATATTTGAATTTTCAATGTTAATTATTTTTAATGTTTCTCACAAATCTTTGCAGTGAGTTTAATCTTGCTTTGTAGTTTTCTGGTCCCTGTTCCAGGTTGCCTCATGCAGGCTGTTGGAGCTGTTGTCTGGTCCTCTGCAGCCCCTGCCCCACCCCCTCCTTTCACAGTCAGTGCAGAGAGGTCAGAGTTTGTGCTCAGTTCCCACCCCCATGGACAAACCCTGACAGGGGATTATGAGGAGCCTTTCATGGTTTGAGGATGTCTAAGAGGTGTTTGCTTCTTGTGAGCACCTTCACGTGCCCTGGGTAGGTGCTGAATGTTGGTGCTCTCCAGATGAGGCACATGGATGGGTTGGGTTTTTTTGCTGCTGCAGCCTCTCGCATCTCTCCCTTGGGATGCAGGGTGTAACCCCTCTGCTTCATTTCACTTCTCCTAGGTAAGCAAATGATTGAGACTTACTTTGACTTCCGCCTTTACCGCCTCTGGAAGACCCGCCAGCACTCTAAACTATTGGATTACGATGACATTTTATGAGCTGGAGAAGACTTTGCAAGAGGAAGTTGATCACCAGTGTCCAAGAAGTCATGCTTATTGCAGAGAGACTTTTTTATTGGCACAGGGAGCCCTTCAAAGCCCTATAGGAGGCAGCAGTGCTAAAGGGAGGGAAGAGGGAGCCCTCGGAAGTGTGTCGGGAGGAAAGTCTGCTGGGTCAAGAGAGACTGGAGGGAAAGGGTTTGGCACCTCGCTTGCCTCAGGTCAGAGCCGTGGTGTCTCAGGAGGAGCTGTGTGAAACGAGGACAGGATGGAGTTCCTTGCAGAACTGAGCTGTTTTGGGTCAGAATGGGCCAGATTTGATTCCAGGTCCTTTTAAAGACTTTTGAAGCTCAGGTTTTCTTACAAAAAAAAAAAAATTATCAGTTACCCATGCACCTCAGTGAAGAAGTGACCAGAGCACAGAGGGAGGAGGGGTGTGTACTGATGGGACCTTCTGTTCTGCGGATCGTGGAGAGCAAGGACTGCTACACCTACTCCTGCAAGCTTAGATCCAGATGATCCAGTTTCAATGTGAATATATACTGGAATATAGAATTGAAATCTAACCCTTTTTTTTTGTTTTAATAGAAAATAAGTGCAATTTTTATAGCGAGAGGAGTAAAATCCCTCCCAATATTGAATTAGTTAAAAATTAACACACCAGTAACCAATAGATGAGGTATTTTTGGTCTGCTTGAAAATATATTCAAAATGGTAATATATCTTCTGTAGACATATTTAATCACCAGCAAACATGGTTTTAACATAACTTAGCAGACCCTGCATGTCTGCTGCATTGATTACTCCGGTTTGGTTGTTACTGTCAGAGTAGCTGTGTTGCACTAATGGTACCTGCTCTCACGGATGTATATTTCTCCTCCAATTAGACACAACTTTGTTACTTTCTATTTTGCTGCTTGCAAAACTATGGGACTTTAGTTTTGCTGAAATACTTTAGGTTAGAAATATGGTACCTGGCTGAGAAACCTCTGTCAGGTTCACTATGATATAAAATGAATTAGAAATTAATAGCCATGGTAATTACTTGTTCATGCCAGTGTTTTGCTATGTGTCGAGAGACAAGTTCTCTTTCTCGTCTGCTGTGTGGAGCAACATGGTTACACGGCCATCAGAAACCCTCCAAGGAGACTGTTTGCTGAGGCATTTGCTTCTGGAGGAATACAGCACGGGTTTGTAGCATGAGTTTGAATCTTCCCTATGTTCACTCGATTGCCAGTTGTTTGTGCATAAACCACCTTTTTTCCAATGCTAAAAAGACCCGTTCATTGGTCTGAGCTGCTCACATCCCTTTCTGTGTAGGACAGAGTAAACCCAGAGCTTTGTCTGAGCAGCCATGGTTTGAGAACCCAGATTTGTACTTGATATTTGAGAATATATTTTGGAATATGTTTACTTTTTGTTTGTTTAGGTCAGGGATTGCTTTTTGTTTTGGGAAGGGTTTTTTTCATCTACTCTCCTGTTCAGAGGATAACTACTACTTACAGTCTGCATAGGTCACTCTGGCAATTCTGGGAGGTGATACAAGTGATTTCTTTTATAAATGGAGAAGTGACAGGAAGGATTACCTTTGTTTCCTGATTTCCTGGTATCTAAAATTAGTTGATGTGCAGTGAAGGAAAATATATGTACAAATCTTCTTTTAACTACTTAAAAAAGAACTAGTTGTTCTGATCTGTAGAGTACTCCTTCCCCCGTGACATATGTGGTTGTAGTTTTGGGGAGCGGGCCTCTGGCTAGAACTGCTGAACCCTGTACATTTATAGCAGTTTTATAGCAAAACTTGTGAAGAAATAATGTACATATAGTAAGTAAGGAGAGAAATAGGTGGAGAGAGATGGTTTAAAGTCATTGAAGACAACATACTGAACCAAACAGGTGAGGGCTGCTGCCTCCCCCTCTGGTTCAGAGCTGTTGGGAAGCTGCTCTGCTGAGGTTTGGTGGCTACATCTCATCCTGGGCTGGACTCTTACCCTCTTGACTCAGTCATGTTTTCTAGACTTGTAGTGAAGGGGATAATAGGTACCCATCTGTAACTTCTGGGAGAAAATGCCAGATTAAAAAAAAAAAAAAAAAAGATGCCAATTCTCTATTATTTAGCATGGTAGCTTCCACCAGCTGTGCTTGTGAGAGGTGGGAGTTGTAGGTGCACTGAAAGCACAAAGTCTTGTGTTACTTGGAGAAGGAAATGGTAATGACAAGATTCAAACGCTGACACAAAACTCTCTCCTTTCTGACCCTTTTACCTCCTGTGGTTATGCTCCTAACTGGAGACAGACAAACTGTTCTTTCTTTCTCTTTTCTAAAGTAAAATCCCAATTCAGTGAACTTGGTAGCATGAATGTAGCATTGTGGAACTATTGAAAATCTTATTTAACTCCGAAAGGGCCCATTTATGTATCCAATTCAGTGATTTCTCTGTAGAACTATTGTATATCTATCCTCATTAACCACTTGTAGAACTAGGGGTGCAAAGTAGAAAGGTAGATTGTACAGTTGCATAACTTCTGTAGGAAGATGTATGTTTGAATGAACATTATGGACTGTTTTACTGGTGCAGTTGACTGTAGTATAGTATAATGACAAACGATGAATGCATTTCTCTCTTTTCCAAAGATCTATACTCCTCATAGTTTGTGATGGTTATGACATGAGCATATTATTTCCTTTGTAGCGTTCATTTGACTTTATAAAGAGATGAAATACTCCTAAAGCTGTGATTGGAAAGACAATAGAGTTTTGATGTTTAAAGTCCTTTGTGCAAATAGCATCATTGAAGTTAACCATTTCTGAAAGAGGAAAACAAATTTCTTCCCCTTTTTAACTGGTTGAATTTTTCAAGTGGCTGCTGGGAAAGGAAGGGATCAGCAGAGGTTAGGATGCAAAAAAACACCAAAAATGTAATTATTTAAACTTTAGAGTTAAAAATAGAGCCTGTAGCTTCGTCAGTTGGACTAGCCTGTAAAGGATGACCTCTGGGTGGGCGCTGGGCGCCAGCGTGGAGCACGGTCATGGCCAGCACATCCCGAGCACCGGTTCCTCACCCCCCCAGCACCTCGGCAGCCTCTTCTCGGGGCACGTTGAGGCCAGGCCTGGGCACAGGGATCTCTGCCTGGGGCAGCTGAGGCCACAGCACAATTTGTCATTCTACCTGTACCCGCTGCTTTCAGCTGCCTGCTCGAGGGCTGTGCCTGGCTGAAGCCCTGAAACCAGGGTGTTGCAGTGTGAGTCCAAGCGGGCTGGGTGGAGCTCACCTCTCCTCAGGGTAATCGGAGCGAGCGGCTTATGGTGGGGGTGAGCTGTCCCCACCTGCTCTGTTAGAGGATCACAGCCCTGTCCCACTGCAGGGAACTGCTGCTGCAGCTCCTGTGTGGTCTGGATTTGCTGGAGAAATGGGGGCACTTGGTTAACCCCGGAGGGAAGCAGATTAAACTGGAATAGCTAAATTGGGTGCCAACCCAATTCCTGCTGCTTTGGTTATGAGGCACTATTGGATGTGACCTCAAACCCTGTGCCTGGCCTGATGAACATCAGCAGAGAGCTCTGCTCGTTGCGTTATGGCCTGGGCTGGGACTGTCACCTCCAGGAGAGAAGGGTGGGCAACACGTGCCTCAGCTGTCCAGTCTGCTGCCCCTCAGACTAACTCACGCCCTCAGAGCAGCTCCCAACCATATTCTCTGGTGCCTGTAGAGAATACAAGCTCAGCTGTAGAGGCTTGGTGGGTGTCATCTTCTTGGATGTATTGCTTGTCTTATACAGGGATTTCCAGAGAGGCTTTTCTCTCTTTTTTTTTCTCATTTGGCTTGGAAGGAAAGGGAAGAAGAAAATTCAGGTTACCTGAGGGACATAGAAATCAGTAGAAAATTGAGATGCAGTTTTTTGCACCCCTCCTCATGCTGCAGCTGCCAACTTCCCTTTGCAGTTGCACTCCAGGCTGGGGGTGGGAAATGAATGAGTTATCAGATAATCCCTTCCTTCATTAAAAAAAAACAAAAAACCCCAGACAAATCCTTGCAGCTGTAGCAAAACATCTGACCAGCCAACTCATCCTGCCCCATGCGAGGACTCCGCTGTGTGCATCTGTGGGATCCCACCTGCTTTGGCCTCCAAGTGCCTCTGGGGCTGCCTGAGCCGTGGCCCATGGCAGGGCTCTGCTCTGCCTCTGCGGAGAGGACTCTGGAAATGAATTTTCTTTGTTTCTCAGCCTGGACTTGTTGCCTGGCACTCAGCACAGGTTTCCTGCTCCAGGGGCTTCTGGAGTATATGTGTGTGTGTTTTCACGTCATCTCTTCACACATGGGGTCTTTCCTGTGGTCTGGGGGAGGCGCTCCCCCTCAGCTGCCCTCACTTGTTTTGCCACATGTAAAGCATGAGGCAGTGTTCTGGTTGTCGTCCACGCTGTGTGAGTGTCTCTGGCTCCTGGCACACATCCATTTCACAAAGAGCTGCTGTTGTTTCGGGACGTGACTATGTTAGTGACCTGTGGCAGGGAGTTCCAGTTCCCAGGGCTCTGCTGGCAGAGTGACTGCAAACGCTGCTTCGTCACCTTCAGCCAACAGAAGTGGGGTTAGTTGAAAGAATGGAAAATGCTGATTTTAAATAGCCAGCCTGGCGGGATCTGGAGATGGGAGCATGTCCTTAATCCCAGAACAGACAGGAGGTGGAATGACAGGCTTGCTCTGCTCTCTTGGTGTAAGTGTAAACATTGAACCCATCAAAACCCAGTTTAAAGGTCACACATATATTATTAATGTATTGGTGCAGAATAAGGTATGTTACTGTATGACTTTAAAAAAAATCTTTCCCTTGCCAATTGGCACACGTTGCCAGAACCATGCATCAGAGGATGCACTGGGTTGTGTCATCCTTCCTGGAGTGATGGGGCCATGCTGCCCATACCGGGACACAGATTTGCAGGTACACATAAAGCTGAATCGGTCTCTACTCTGGGTTTTGCTGTGACAGTCCCTGGAGCTGATGATACAGCCAGCCCTTCCCGAAGGACACCATGCAGATATCCTCCCAAGGGACAGTGACCGGTAATAGCATTTTCCATGCCATCTGTAAAAAGTTGTTTGTGATTCTGTATTTTGTCCCACTGATCATAGAGTATCCCTGGCTTTCTGCATCTTCTATGGGACTACTTTTTAATTCTCAGTTGTGGAAACACAAGCCAAAGTCAACTGGAAATTGTTACAGTTTTGATAAGTCAGCCTGCTAATAATATCGTGTAGAGCTGAGTAAATGGGTGGTTTAATGACCATGAACCTGATTGTGATCATTGTTACTCCCAGGTTATCCTGTTGTGTAATCAGCAGGATTAATAGAAAGATACTAGAGTTTGCTGTCTCTGCCTAAAATGCCAGTGCACAATCTCTTGCTGAGGTTGTGCATGAGCTGTTGAAGAGCAATAGGAACCAGTAGCTGCTTTCAGAAATAAATTCAGCCCAGCATACTGCCAATCAGTGTGAAAAACTTAAAACTGGAAGGAATAAACATTATAGACATAAAATTTAAAGAATCCATCTGCAGGGAAGGTAAATTGCATTTTTTCCAGAAATGTTTGGTAAATTTTAAAGAACTAATACAACCTAACAATTTTTCACATTATTGCTTGTAGAGTATCCTTAAAATTGACATACTTGAGGACAGATAAGACCCATCTAGGATTGTCTTACATTGTCACAGGCTATATTTGGTTAGTAAATGGTCTTTCTTACCTCAGCATCCAAATGAACTGGTGATTAATCACAGCAGTAATGGCCCTATAAGCTTTAGCCAGAGGAGCCTCTCCACCCACATTGCGAAGCCTTGAGCAAAGCAAACATATATTCACAGAGACCCCCCAAGCAGCTGATGGAGCCAAACTTTCATCCCTGTTCCTGGGTGGCCCCTCCCGTGATTCACAAATATATACAGCAGTAACCTATGGGCACAGCCCCTGCCTGCTCCTGCTGTCCGTGGGGTTTCAGTGTGTTTGAGTGGTGTTTTACTTCCGTGGGTGTGCAGGGGACGTGCTGACTTGTCCATGGGAAGTGTTTCTTACCTGGAGAGACAACTGCAGCACAGAAGCACGCTGGTGGTATTCAAAAAGCTTCAACAGAAAGCACGGGGTTATGAGATAATTTTTCTTGTAATCTACTTTTTTAGTGCTAAAAAACAGTCCTTTTAACTCGGCACAGAGCTGGGAATTCAAGGACGGGTATCTTTGCCCTTACATTTGAAATGCCCCAAAAGCATCACAGATAAGTACAGCCAAGCAAGGCTCTTTGAGTATGGATCCTGCTCCCCTGTGCTTCTTCTGGCCCCTGTGCTGAATGAGACATCCTTTTGCTAGGTGTTAAGATGGGGATGACCGAAGAAACCAAGCAAGTTTGGTATTCCCCATCCCAGGAAACCAGGCTGGCAGCATACCCGAATGAGCAAGAAGGAGCTCTGTAGTTTTTCCACTGTGTGTTTCCTGTTGTTCTTTAACAACACTATTCCTGGAACTGGGGTGACTTCAGCTGTGATACCAAGCAACAGCAAAACTGAGCTTTTGGGATCTTTACTGTTTCCCCTTGGAGTTCAGGCACCAATCTTCATTTCCAGCTCCTTTGCCCAGTTGTGAGCCCTCCCTTTGCTACTGCAGAGCTGCTGGTGATAGGGGCATTATTGTGAGTAATGTGTGAGTAATAAGTGAAAAAGGTAACAGTGCAAGCTTTGAAAAGGGACCCGGTACTGTGGAGAAGGATAGGTTATATCTGGTAATGCTCCTAAACTCTGAGATATTCAAGCAAGTTACTTTCACTCAAATAAAGAAAAAGAAACAAGCATAGTTGTCAAAATAATGGAAGGAAAAGACCCCAAACCATCCAAGTGTAAATAGTAATCAACCATTTGACAAACTATGTGAAGATAAAGCACTCTATAGTCTGATTCTGCCTCTGCTCTCAGCTGAGTTCAGAGGCAGTTGACAGCATCCTGCTCCTTTCAAAATCAAACTCAAGTGCAGGGTAGCATGGCTGTGTACATCTGTGCTGCTCCACGCTGCTCAGGCAAGGCTGGGTCCACACGTGGTGGGGGGGCCGAGCACTCGGGTCCCTCTTCTGCTTACCCCATCTCAGCAGGAAGCTGAAGGCAGAACAGATGCACAAGGAGCTTGAAACGTTGGCCCCAAGAGAGCCTCTGGGTTAGAGATCTCAACCTGAGGCATGTTGGTTTGGGGCCAAAACTGTCTTAAAGTTAATGGAGAGTTTTGAAAACGGAGATTGTAAGCTCTGAGGTCTTGGTGGGTCCTGGACCAGCAGGTTGGTTCCTTAGAGAAGTCAGAAGTAAGTTACTCCAAAGGCCTGTCTCTGGTTTTCAAGGCTGTTTCTGGCTGGCTGCCTGCTGCCCAGGCGTGGGGCATGGCCATGATGCAGGAGACATCAGCCATCTCTGCTGCCTCCGTTAACATATTTCTCTGAGACTATCTGCTGCTTCGTGTATGATAACCAGGTTTCAAATACATGAATGTTTCTAGGTTTTAAGACATGATTTAATAAAAAGAGCTGTTTCTGGGAAAGCAGGTTTTCTCTCGTTTGCTTTTTGTTCTTGTTCTCTGGCTGAGTTTATTATCGACCCAGGAAATGCCACTTGGCAGATGCTTTGCTGTGCTGGCAGGTGAGGGAAATGCTGGAAACTCAAGAGCAGAGCTCCAGAGGTGCAAGAGGCCCAGATGCAGTTAAAAGGGGAGGTGAGGGACCATCTGAGAGGCACAAATCCAGTGACAGGGATAGTACAGAGTGATTCAGTTCCAGCAGTATCTGCAGCTTAGTGAACATGGACTGGATCACTAAGGAATTTAGAGAGCATTAAGCATTGTGCCTTTTCCTGGGAGGAGCACCATCGTAGACACTGAGAAACAGAGCCCTGGAGAAATTCAAGGGAGGCTAAAGGCCTGATAATCCCTCTGGGGAAAACAGACCAGCTCCAAAATAAAGCAGATCCCCAGGTAGGCAGAAGGCATTGAATTCAGATAAGCCACTTTCCTTATCACAGGTCTGTTTGACTTAATTGCCAAAGTGAGCATGAGCAGCTCTGGCTTGAACTCCCAGCTGTTATTTTCCCCTTTATCTCCAGTGCTGACAGTGACGTGCATGATCGTCTTCCGTTAAATGTGGTAACTGCAGCCCCTCTGAGTAGAGGCAAAGATAAACAGGCCGGACAACTCGTCTTCATTTTTCTTCAGCACTGGGATCTCTCAGCCTTCATTTCTGCATTCTTCTCCATGTGCCACCACCACAGTGGGGAGGGCCATGACATATCCATCTCAGCAGTGTGATGGATGACAGAAACCACTTTTAATCCCTTAACATCAACTGCGCAGCCAGTTTCTGGACAGAGACCTGGCCACTGTTCTCCCTAAGGCCTTTGTAGCATCACTGATGCTCAGAAAGATGGCTTTTATTCTCTATCCTGCAACCCTTCCATGCTGGCACTGTCCTGTTTTTAAATTAGCATCATAAGGTGCAAAGTCAAGTTTGCTGCAGAAGCCCAGTTACAATGGTTTATTTCTACCCATCGCTTTCTTTCCTCTCCCTTTGTGCTTTGTTACACATGGCGATGGACACAAACCCAGAGCAGGAGCTGTGCAAGTGGAGTTTTGCTCTGCCCTGTAAAAAGGTGAGGCACTGAGATGTCTCGCAGGGGTTCAAAGTGAAATCATACGTCTCTGAGTACTGCTGGGCCCAGCCCTTTCACTGTTCCCTTGTCACCTGGCTGAGCTGGGGTCATCCCAGCAGATCCTACCGTTGCCAGCCCCCACCTCCCTTGCAAGCGGTCGGTGCCACAGCTTCTGCGGACCTGTGCTATGTGGCACATCCCACATCAGCTGTGGCCTGGTGCTTGCCATCACCCCCTCCAGGTCCTGTCCCCTGCCATCATCACACCAGGGTTTTGTAATCGAGCATTTGTTTTTGTGCCAAAATATGAGCGCTGAACAGGATTCCCAGGAGCCTCTTAGTAACAGCAACTTGGGCTCTACTCCCGTGTTAACCATGGGTGTAAATACAGTGACGCAAGGGATTAGCTCCAAAGTGCTCACTTGCCAGCCAAGTTTCACTGTCCAGTCTTTAACGCTTTTTCACTGACTCAGCCTAGGAAAGAAACAGGTGACAGAAATGATAGAAGGCTCCCAAATCTTGACTGGCAGGGGAGGAAATTAATAATGGTTGGATTTTTTTTTTTGTTATAAAGGCAGGCAGGCATGCAGCGAAACTAGCAGATGCCAGGTTCAATCCCCACAAAGGGAGGCGTTTTCTTTGCACCAGGTGCAGATAAACTGTGAGATTCATTATTTCAGGATTTATGGGCTTTACACGGGCTCAAAAGCCAACCAGACAAGACCACGAAAGAGAAATCCATTGAGATCTCTGGAGTACAAAGGCACATTGTTGGCTCTGTACGTGCCTGAGCCATGAGTCACCAGAGGCGGGGAAATGTCGGGTCTTTATCCTCAACCCCGGGCACCCGCTGTGCGGCCTGGCAAGGGCCAGGACACGGGATGGTGCATCACGGACCTGTGCTTCAGCCGAGTACACTGGGTCATGTGTAAACCTTAAATCACCCTTGTGTTATTTAAGCTGAATTGCAGAGAGCTGCCTCCTTCCATTTAGCCCTGGTTTGATGGCCCTCGGCAGAGCAGCTCCTCGGGGCACACAGGCAGCTTTGGCAACAAAATAGTATTTTTGATAGTATAGTTTACAGGTATCATTTGAAGAAGGTGCAATTGTTCTGTCCTGGCTTGGGAGTGCAAAGGTAAGAGCCTTGTCAGCAGGATACGGTGCTCCTTCCCGTAAACACACACCTGTGTTTTCAGCAGCCCGGCTGAAGCAGGTGAAATCCCCGACGTCGAAGCAGCCTGGCACGGCGGGGTGCGGCTCTGCAGCCCTCGGGCAGGCTGGACCTCGGCAAGTTCTGGCCAAAGGTTATTTACGTCACAGCGTTCCATGTCCCCTGCACCTCTCGGGCTGAGAATTTCAGGGTTATCAGAGGCGTGGAAAGTCCTGAACTGTCGTGTGATGGTTTCCTGATTGCACAGACTTCCCCAAGAAACCTGCTGGCGGTTGATAACAGGCACTGCCTGGGAAGAAGCCACTTCTCCCCGTGCTCTATGCCCAACAAGCAGCCGTTGCCCAAGAGCGAGGCTGGTGGGAAAAATGCTTTCCCACTCCGCTGCTGTGTGCCGTGGAAGCCCCCACTTGGCTCCTCCAGAGCTCTCCCTGAAACAATTCTCTGACAGCCCCGATAAGACGTTGCTCGGTGCCACTGGCTTGTTCCCTGCCCGCCGTGGCTGCTCATGCCGACACCGGCTGTTCCCCAGACCGCGGCCGAGCTCATGTGGGGGGACCCCAAGAGGCGATTTTCGCTCCCCTCCTCCTCGGCTGGTGCCACACGGGCCCGTCCAGGATGGGGGGGAAAGCGCAGATCAGGGTTTTTGGGTGATGCGGATCGCGGTGGCTCCTGTCCCCAAGGCCGGGGGGGCGGCGGTGCCGTGCCCCGAGGCCATGTCCGGTAACACCGCCCGGGCCAAAGCCCAGCTGCTTCCCGTGGCCGCCGCGGGGCTCTCCCGGCCGGGCAGCGCCTGCCACGGCCCCGCAGGGGCGGATCTCCCCGACACCGGCCCCGGCGCGGAGCGGCCCACGGCCTCAGCGAG